ACTCTGTACGCATCAAGGCCTTCAGCGCCTGGCTCACAGTCTTCCCCTTGCCCAGCTTCCAGCATCACCTTAGGGAATGTCAGCACTTACGTAAAACAGCCACTGGAAACAGTCTTATTCTTGACTTCCTCACCTCCGATGACCTTTTGGCTATCCATTCGCCACCCTAACTCAGACTGATGTTTTATACTTCTGATCTCATGTAGATCTTCAGTTCCACTTGCCTATACTTTTACTTGTTTATGGTCATCTCTTTTCCAGGGATTATTTTAAATTTTCACTCTTCTTCACCTGCCTCCCTCACCTCAATCTCCTATTCCTTTGACTCTTAGTTAGATGATTATCCTTCTGCTTTGATGATGAAACTGAAGCCATTCACCATGAACTCCACCACTCCCTCCCATTCTCGTGGGCACACACATGTGCACACACGCAAACTTATGTACTTCCTTACCTATCGTCCTTCCCTTTCCCCTGGTCTCACGGGATGAGGCTTCCTAAGCAAATCATAGCTAACACCCTCTCTTTTTCTTTCTTCCTTTCCAATTTAAACTTCTTAAAAGAATAATCTCCTCATTTCCCATTTACTTCTTTTTTTCATGTACCCCATAATCCCATTATAACCTGAATTTCATCCACACCACTTTATCAAAATTGCTTTCATTAAAGTTGTTTGTTACCTCTTCATTTTTCCTCCCCACAAAATAAAAAATAAATCAATTCCATCACACTGTTCTTGAACCCTTTTGTTGCATTTTTACATGGTTAGTTACTTCCTTATCATTAGAGCTCTCTGCTTTCTTTGCTTTCATTGCAGCACTCTCTCTCAGTTCTGCTGCTTTTGAGACCACCAATTCTCAGTCTGTATTGTGAGTTCCTCTTCTCCTTGCTCATCCTTAAAAGTTATTTCCAGGCTTCCAGTCAGGATAGTGGAATAGGCAGTCCCCAGTGTCACTCTCTCCCACAAATCAACCAATTTACAACTATTAAAAAGCAATGACAGCCAAGCTGGGGCTACTAGAGCTCAGGGGAAGAGGAGGAGAGACCTATGGTGTACATGAAGGCAGGAGAAGCCACGATGACAGAAAGAAAAAACCACTCTGACTGTTTTGAGCTCTGGCCACATCCAGGCTGGAGCTGCTGAGTGCACAGAGCAGGAGCTGACAAAAACTGCTGCTGTGCCCTTCAGATGAAGTTGCTTGGAGGTGGCAGGGGAGAAGAGGGTTTGGTGGCCCCCAGGCCAGCAAGACCACTAATAGGGTTCCTGTGGACCCACATAGGAGCGAAGAGCCACAACAACTGAAAAAAGGACTGGTGAGTCACTGCAAGGGACCAGAGTACAGTCTGCCCTGTGGGAAGTGTTTGGAGTGTGGGCAGTGGGGGACACAGGCCCACTGGGGGAATACTAGGGTGCAGCAAGAACAGATGATCTGCCCCCCTAGTCAGTACAGGACCACTCAGTGGAGACTGGTCAGGAATATAGAGCTGCAGGGGGTGCAGTTTGCTGAAAAGACTCAGGCCCAGACCAGAGTTTCCACACAACCCAGGTGCACCAGATCTCATGAGACCCAGAAGTACCTATAAAGTCAACCATTAAAACCTGAACTGCACAAAATACCTTCCTTAGGGAATCAGCAGCAAAGCAGCAATTTAGCTCAACCACAGGGCTCAAGTGCTGGTCCCCA